AGGTCATCTTCCAAATAGTATTCCTACATAGGAGTCCACATTGTAGTGCAGGAATGAGTAAATCTATGGCTCATGGGCTACCTTTTTTTGCAAATAAAGTTCTAGAACAGCCATCCATGCTCCTTTGTTGACGTTTTGTCTGGGCCTGCTTTGGTGCTATGAGACTGAGTTGAGTAGCTATATAAGAGATGTTGTGGCCTGTAAAGCCTTTATAGAAAAAGATTCCTTCCCCTATTCTAGATCATCTCAACAGTAATGGCTTTATTTCCCACTGCATTAGCCAGAGATCCTTTTAGCATCTTAGAAATTCATACTTAATTTGTTGTTACTGTGACAAGTCTTCCTATTTTACAAATGGGCTAGCTAGAACACATTTTAAACTAGAAGATTATAAGGACTATACCAGAGTCCTGTAGTCAGTTATACTATGTCCTTTGATGTAATATTTGAGCTTCAACTCTAGAAATTCTTTTTGTTATATCCTAACTTGAAGCATGTGGACAGAGCACACTTTGGTGCCTTCTTACTTGCCCTCCTCTTTCCTGTGAGAATATGGAAAATGAGGAATTAATGTTGAATAAGGTAGAGAGAAAGGCCCAAGCAAATGTATAGAAGGTCCTAATGTTATTTTATTTTTTAAAGAATTATTTTATTTTACTTTATTTATTTATTTATTTTTCAATCTGACCAGAGAGAGACAGAGGAAGAGATAGAGAGAATGAGGGAAAGTGAGAAAGCAAGCTGCCAGGTCCGAGACTTGAACTGCAGTCGGCCTTGTGGGTGTCCAGCACCCCCAACCACCATGCCACCTGCTGTCCTCCCAAATATTAATTTTTAAATGATGACCCTGTTTGATAGGTTTTTAAAATACATCTGTCATCCATTTTAATTTCATTCATATCTGATTCATAATGGTACTTAAAAATAGTTTCTTCTGATTTCTTTTGATTTTTAACTATAACTTCCAAGTTTTTATGAATATGCCTGGGGCTGAGAGTCCCAGGGAGAAAAGTCATTTTGTTTATGAAAGAAAATGGCTGCAGCTCATTGCAGTTTACTGGAAATGGTAGGCGGAAGGAAAGATGGAAGTCTAGGTCCAATGTCATACGTTGCCCTGTACTTCATTCAGTTCTCTAGCTTTGGCAAGATGGTTTTCTGAGCAGTTTCCACTTGATTTAACTTTATTTTATTTTTATTTTGACCAGAGAGTGACAGAGCGAGAGAGAGAGGAAGGAAAAGTGAGAAAGCAAGCAGCCAGGTTTGAGACTTGAACCACGGTCGGCCATGTGGGAGTCTAGCACCCTTAACCCCTTAACCACCATGCCACCAGCTGGCCCCATGGTTCTTAATTTTAAGACAGACTTGACAGGGGCCAGCAGGTGGTATAGTGGTTAAGGTGCTGTACCCCACATGATTGACCATGGTTTGAGTCCTGGACCTGGTGGCTTGAACATCATGCTGCGTGCATGTGCATGTGTGCCCTAAATCTCAAGAGGAGGGTGGAGTTATCGATAAAAGAGGAGAGTGAAGGAGAAGGGATCCTAGCGAGGCTATCTCTCCTGGGGGTTTTCTCACTTTCCTTTTCTCTCTGGTAAGCCTATGTACCCTAGAGCAGAAACCAAAAAAAAAAAAAAAAAAAGACAGACTTGGGGCCAGCAGGTGGCGTAGTGGTTATGGTGCTTGATCCTACATGGCTGACTTGGTTCCAGTCCTGGACCTGGCAGCTTGAAAATCATGCTGGGCGTGTGTGCGTGTGTGCCTAAAATCCGAGGAGGAGAATGGAAGAGAAGGGATTGCCGCATGGCCATCTCCCTGGGGAGGTGATTTTTCACTTTCCTTCTCACTGTCTCCCTCTGTTTTTTTTTCCAGTGAGCACATGTGCCCTGTGACAAAAACGTTAAAAAAAAAGACAGACTTGATATAGGAGAAACAACAAAGTCATATTGAAATAAACGCCAATGAGGTGATACTCAGAATTAGCACAGTTCTTTGGAATTCTAGCAAATGGGTAATTTAGACTACTCTCAAATAGTATTTTTTAAAACTTGTTAGCAACAGCTGCAGTTTCAGTTAGGCAGTGCTATGAACTAAAGTCCTGTTTATCTTTGTCATGGAAATGATACTGGTAAATTTTACCTATTTATGTCTCTCCCTTGTTTTAAGTTTAAGGGTGGAGACCATGTCTTAGTCATTTTTGTAATTCTCTAAGTAATAAAGGTTGTATTAATTTCTGGGTATAATCCACTGAATGTCTATTTAAGGATATTCTTTTCTTTAAAAAAGAATTATTTATTTATTTAATCTATTTGTTATTATAATTAATATTATTATTTTAATTTGACCAGAGAGGAGCAGAGAGAGAGAGAGAGAAAGTGAAAGTGAGAGTAAGAAAGCAAGCTCTGCCAGGTCTGGGACTTGAACTGCGATCGACCTTGTGAGAATCCAGCGCCTTTAACCATTGTGCAACCTGCTGGCCCCTAGTTAAGGATATTCTGAGATTTAGGTATGGGCATGTTCACAATGTACAAAGAAGTAAATAATGGAAAAACTTACCTATTTATGAAATGGGATTTGGTTAAATATATTTTGGTGTATTCATTTAATAATAGTGTAGCTGTTAAAAATTAAAAGGCTTAGAGATGAAATAATTGACTTGGAAAGTTATGTGCAATATATTAATTGAAAAAAGGTTACAGAGCAGTAGAAGTATAGTTTCATCTAATTTTTTTAAAACAAGAATTTGTATTTATACATGTACATGGCAACTGTTGGAAGAACACACCCCAAATCTTAAACTCTCTGGGATTCTGGGTGATTTTTACTTTCTATCCTTAATATAGTTCTGGATTTTCTTTTTTAATAGTGCATACTTTTGACTTTCAAAATTAGAGAAACATTGAAATTATTTCCATTTTGAAAATTGTTGACTTGAACAGAAATGGAATAAATAGGGATTGTGAGGGGGAAACCGAAGCAGTATAGTTTGGAAAAGAGTTGGTTAGGACAAGGGGAAGGAAGTGATGGAAATAAGATCACTGTCTTCGGAGAAGGGAACTTACTTAGTGCAGGTATCTCATGGATCAGAGTTTGCACTTACTATTCATTTCCCAGTTAGGCCCTTCACACATTTCTTTTCTATCCTGTTCCTCTGATCTTTAGTTACCTACGTAATTGCTAGTGGTGGCAGCTGCTTATGGGTGTACAGCTCTTGTCTAGTAAATGGCAGTTGTAATTGCTCCAATACAGAGAAAAAGATGACTCAAACCCGTCAGTGTTCCTGCTCCCTATCCTGTCCCTCTAGCTAGGCAACACCAGTCTTCTTTACATTTAGTAGGAGAGCTTTCTGCCTGGGTTTCATGGTCATTACTAGATTAGAGGTCAGGTACTGTTTTGTTGGTGGTGTGTGGTGGATGAAACAGTTAGAAATGGGCCTTTGGAAACTGCTTCTTGGGTCTTCCTAGGGTTTGAGTTGGATTACCTGCATCTCACTGAGCAGCAGGAAACATAGCTTTAGCTAGTGCTGCCACCATTCAGTGATAACAATTAATATCCTGGCTTTGGACCGTTACTGACTTGCTAGATTTCTGGGTTGCTTTTCATGCAAAGCAGCTAGGGACTGTGAAACTCATAGCAATATGCTGCTTCCATAGGAAAAACCCAGGCCCAGCAGGTGGCCTGCTGGATAAGGCATTGGACTCCCACATGGCCAACCGTTGTTTAAGTCCTGGTCCTGATGCCTAGAGAATCAAGCTGGGTGCGTGTGCATGTGTGTCCAAAATCCCAGGAGGAGAATGGAGGAGATGGGATTTCTGTATGGCCATCCCCCCTGGGGGATGATTTCTCATTTTTCCCCTCGTTGTCTCTCTCTCTCTCTGTGGCAAGCACACAGGCCCTATGGCAAAAAACTAAAAAAGAAAGAATGAACGAACAAACCCTTGTGGGGTGGGGGTGTTTGGCTTGTCCTATGTATTCTCTCATTTCAGACACCCGTTTCCTCAGTGATTGAGCTTTAAAAGTAGAGGGCTAGCCACTGGCCTACTTGGCTCCTTGTGATCTTTTTACTAACAGGTACGTAAGTGAACAGATAATGTTTTTAAAGAATTATTTATTTTATTTATTTATTTATTTAAATTTGTCAAGGGAGAGAAAAAGCGAGAGAGAAAGGGAAAGCATTTTGATTATAAGTTGAGCCTTGGTAGGAGTTAAGATTGTAAATGACTTGTAAATGGGTTTAGACCAGAGCTCAGAGCTTTATTACTGTACTTTTCTGCATTAGTTTGAGCCAGATGCTATCTGAAGAAGGTTTCATTTATCTTCTGGTCAGGAATACAGAATATAGATTCACAAACTGCTAGATATAGGGAGGGCTGCTAAGGGGTCAAGTTTATCCCCTATTCAAGATAGGGATATTGAGATCCAATTTGGGGTAAGGACATGAAGGGGAAGATAATTAGGAAGGTTAACATGAGTTTACATATGAGGTTTTTTTTTAAAGAAAGATTTTTGCTATAGGGCATACGCACTTGCCAGAGAGACAAGAGAGAGACAGAGAGACAAAAAAAAAAACAAGAAATCACTCCGCTAGGGGGTATGGCCACACTGTAGTCCCTCTTGGCATCTTGGGCATGCATCACACACACCCGGTATGAGTTTTAAGTCACCTGATCTGGGACTTAAACTGCACTCTACATGAGAGTAAAGCAATGCTACCATTATGCAATCTGCTGGTCTCCACGTCTGAGTCCTGGTGTCTCTGTACCCAAATTTTCTCATTTACAATGGGGACAAGAATCCTTACAAAATAATAACTGTAGGCCTTGAAAGTCTTTGCTAAATAAAGAACATAATTACGATGCTAATGTAAATGCTTAGGAGTGTCTAAGGTCCATGGTGTGGTTGAATAGGTGACTAAACTAAGGTGGTAAAAATAAAAGTAAAGCTAGAGTTTAAACCTTGACTGTTCATCTTCCATTTGTTTTACTCTTCTCCCTATTCTACAGGTGATGCCAAATGCCATCAGAAACCCTGGCAATGATAAAGTGGAATGTTGAGCTCTGCCTGGTCCAGAGAATTGGGAGAGGCTCAAATCAGCATTCTGCACATGGCTATCAAACTATTGTGAAGTCTTGGTAAGTGAGCAGTGGCTTTGGTGGACTGCACTGGTTAGTGGGAAGGGTCAGGGAAGGCAGTCTTAATAGGTATTAGGCAATTACTTAGTATTTTCTCATGATATGAAAAAAGGTCTTAAATATTCAGACTGGAAGTGCTGCTGCTTGTAGTGGGCGTGAAGGCTTCAAGGTTACTTTGTGGAGCTAGAGTACTGGCTGCTTAGGCCCTGAGGGCCTGTGGCCCCAATGGAGTGGCCACAGTGTGTTCCATGGCATCTGGTGGTAGTATTCATACTGATGATGAGCAGGCAGCTGGGCTGGAGAGGGAGGTCATGACAGCTGCATGTAAGGGACTAGACCCATATAATTTACTACCCCCAAAGGCAGCTTTAGGTAATAAGATCCCAATTTAGTCCCTTCCATCACCAATAAGTGAATAGCGCGCTGTTTCTGTGAAGAGGACAACAGTGTTCTCATCTATTTTGGCTACAAGAAAGGTGAGACCCAGCGATGTCCTAACTATGGAACCTGTTACATGCGGATGCCTACCAGTTGGCCCACTGAGCCCCTCAAAATGTGCTATAAAGGTTCTTTCCTGTGAAAAAGAAAAAATTGAAGCTGTAGTAGAGAATCAAGAGACTACCTTTTCCCATTTTCCCAGTTTTACAGATAGGAGAAGTGAGAATTACCAGAGTTTGAGGAGCTGGTGGGTAGCATGGTGGTTAAAGGTGTTGGACTCCCACATGGCCAACCATGGTTCGAGTTCTGGATACTTTCTCTCTCTCTCTGGTCAAATTAAATAAATAAATAAATAAATAAATAAACTTGAATAAAATAATTCTTTAAAAGAAAGGGAGATAGATTTGAATCTAAGCTGGTAATATCTTCTACCCAATTCTTCATTTAGATTCCCTCCAAATCCAGGGAGGCCAGAGGAGGCAGAAAAGATTTTTTTTCTTTTTAGTTTGCTATAGGGCGTGTGCATTCATTGGAGGGAGAGAGAGACAGAGAACAAGTGAGAGCAAGAAAGAGAAAGTGAGAAACCATCCCCCCAGGGGGGATGGCCACTTTGCAACCCCCTCTCCATTCTCTCACGATTTGGGGCATGCACACACATGTGCCCCACGTGACTTTCAAGTTGCTAGGTTCATTACTCAAACCGTGGAACTAGCAGTGTGGGATCCAGCTGCTTTAACCTCCGTGTTACCTGCTGGCCCTGAAAAGTTTTAATTTAACACTGTAAGAGTTTTCTTTTTTTTCTTTTTTTTTTTTTTTTCTTTTTGCCATTGGACATGTGTGTTGGCCAGAGAGAGACAGAGAGAAGGAAATTGAGAAATCATCCCACCCCCGGGGGGAAATGGCCACATTGTGATTCCTTTACTATTATCCTCTCATGATTTTGGACACGCATGCACATGTGCCTGGCATGATTTTCAAGTATTGGGTCTGGGACTCGAACTGTGGTTGATCATGTGGGAGTTCAGCGCCTTCACCACCGTGCCACCTGCTAGCCCCAACACTAGAAGATTTTTGTAAGAAACTTCAGAGTTTGTACTCTTCTGATGATGGAAATTTTTATGATATAAAATTTTATTATACATAAAATCACCTGAGATGCTTGTTAAACATGCAGATTCCTGGGCAGCCAGAAACCTTGTCATTGGTCAAGAGCAACATTAAAATCTGCCTGTAACTTACACTGAGGCTTCCTGCTTCAGTTTACCAGAGAGCCAGGATGAATCATTCTTGCTTTGTGTGTACTTGTGGGAAGTGTTGGTAAGTTGCTGGTGGTTTTGGTGTAGTTCCCTGTTGGTGGTAGAGAAGAGAAGGGAAAGTGATTATGAGAAGGCACTTCTAACTTTCCTTCAAAAATTAAGAACTTAGTAAGTGGCAGAGACTGTTCTGGACATGAACAAAGTACTACCATCAGGGAACTTTCATTCTTGCAAGGTGGACAGAAAGATAAAAATTAGTGTGTGGAGCCATCTGGTGACACGGTAGTTAAGGCGGTTGAATCTCACATAGTTGACTGCATGGTTTGAAAAACATGCTGGGCGTGTGTGTGTGTGTGTGTGTGTGTGTGTGTGTGTGTGTCCAAAATCCTGAAAGGAAAATGGAGGAGAAGGAATTGAAGTGTGGCCATCCCCATGGTATGCTTTTTCACTTTCCCTCTCTGTCTCTTTCTAGTAAGTACACATGCCCGGTAGTAAATGTATTTTTTTAATTTAAATTTTTTAAAAGAATTGTTTTATTTAACTTTATTTATTTATTTATTTATATTTTTAAATTTGACCAGAGAGGTAGAGAAAGAGAGAGAGAAAGCAAGCTGCCAGGTCTGGAACTTGAACCGGGGTCAGCCATGTGGGAGTCCACCACCCTTAACCACCACGCCACCTGCTGGCCCCTATTTATTTGTTTTTTCAGTTTGACCAGGAGGGACAGAGTGAGAGAGGAAAAGTGAGAAGGCAAGCCACCAGGTCTGGGACTTGAACTGCGGTCAACCATGTGGGAGTCCAGTGACCTTAACCACCACGCTACCTGCTGGCCCCCTACGGTAAATTTCTTAAAATTATTTATTTATTTATTCATTCATTTATTTTAATTTGACCAGACACACACGCACACACACGTACAGAGAGAGAGAGAGAGAGACAGGGAAAGTGAGAAAACAAGCTACCAAGCAATTTCGGGACTCGAACCATGGTCCAGTACCTTAACCACCACGCCACCTGTAGGTCCTGCCCTGTGGCAAATTTTAAAAAAGAAAAGAACCAGTATGTGTATAATGTATCTTAAGTACTATGTCAGATATTTTCCCATTATTATGTGAAAAGTTGAATTAAAACATTTGGATTAAACTAAGCAACATCTCTATTTTTCTCTCCTGTCCATTCTCCCTTTTAGTACCTGCCACTGTTTCAGTACAATGGAGGCTGCCCAAGTTGAGTATGGGGAACATAATACATGATGCAAACAACCTTTTTCCTTTTTGTAATCCCATCACTAGGCTAGATTATGAAGGATATCTTTGAAAAGTATTTGAGAATCTACCAGATCTTCCATGTAAGTAACTGCACAGTAGAAGAGGGCATTCCTCTTAGCAATTAAAGTAACACAGTATTAAGGTAAGTAGGGGAAGAAAGGCTGATTTTGCTTTGATTCCTGTCAGGGAGGCTCTTAAAAAAATTCTACTTCCTGGGACTGGCAGGTGTTACGGCACTGGATACCCACATGCGACCACGGATCGAGTCCTGGGACTGGGCGCCTGGCTCACTTTCCCTCTCTCTCTCTCTTTGCTCAAATTAAAATGATAATAATAGTAAAAATTAAATAGTTATTTTTAAAAAATGCTGTTTCCTGAACAAGTACTTGCAAAGCCTATGACTTACTCTACAAAATATTGTTTTGAGAAGGATCTCAAAACAATTGAGGTAGATTATGCGCTTACCCAGTTTGTGATCTTTTTTCTTTCTTTTTTTTTTTTTTTGAGAATTATTTTATTTAACCTTAGTTATTTATTTATTTTGACCAGAGAGGTATAGAAGGAGAGGGAAAGAAAGAGAAAGCAAGCCACCAGGTCTGGGACTCAAACCACGGTTGGCTGTGTGGGAGTCCAGCACCCCCAATCATCATGCCACCTGCTGGCTCCTGGGATCATTCTTGATAAGGATTAAAAGAATCAAAATAGTTCCCAAGTAGACTAGGTGGCATCAGTTCCTGTTTTTGTAAATAATGTTTTGTTGGAGCACAGCCATGCCCATCTCATTATTGTCTGTTTTATGACTAGAGCAGAGGTGAACAGTAGTGACAGAAACCTTATTATAGTCCACAGAGCTATGAAATATTGGGTTGTTGGAAAAGTCATGACACATTTTTACATAGAAAAACAGGAAAAATGTCCTGATTTTTGCAACCCAATATTAACTTGCCCTTCACAGAAAGTTTGCTAACTCCTGATGTAGGATAAATGGACTGTCCACAAATCTTTCTCCTCCTACCTTATTAGGCTGTCAGGAAAGTCATTATGTATTTTTTATGCAAAAATGTGTCATGACCTTCCTGACAACCCTATATATGGAACTTACATTTATAGTTGATGTTAGAATGTATGGAATTTTGTAATATTATAGTTAGTTTCTGAATCTCTTCCTACTCAATTAAGCATGCTAAGAAAGTACATTTAGGGACCAGCAGATGGCATAGTGGTTACATAGATAGACTCCCACATGGCTGTTCACAGTCTGAGTCCTGGTGGCTTGAGAATCATGCTCGGTGCATATGCATGGGTGCCCAAGATCCCAGGAGGAGAATGAAGGAGAAGGGATTATGGCATGGCCATCCCCACTGGGGGATAATTTCTCGTTTTCCCTCTCACTGTCTCTGTCTTTTGTTCTCTGGTGAGCACACGTACCCTAAAGCAAAAACCTCTTTTTAAATAAAAAAGTAAATTTACTGATAGCAGATGGTGTGGAGGCTAAGGTGGCTGGTTTCCACATGGCCAACTCAGCTGTTAAAATCCCAGACCCAGCAGCTTGAAAAATATGCTTGACATGTGTGTGCGTGCCCAAAATCCCAAGAGGAGGATGGAAGAGAAGGGATTGTGGTATGGCCATCCCCCCATGGGGAGATTTCTTACTTTACCTCTCACTGTATCTTTGTCCCTCTGGCAAGCACACGTGCCCTGTAGCAAAACCTTAAAAAAAAAATTTATAAATTTGACTGTCAGATACTCCTTGACTTAGGATCAGGTTATGTCCTGATAACCCCCATAGTAAATTGAAAATATCCTAAATGTAAAATGTTTTAAGTTGAAACTTACAAATCTTAAGTTCCTTGCCTTAAATGTGATTACAATTTATAATGCATGCATATTGATTTCACATTTACTTTTTTTTTTGTCAGCCGGTGTGTGTTCTCTCCAGAGAGAAAACTCCTCCCAGCAGGACATGGTCACACTACAATCCTTTTTATTCCATTTTAACATCCTGTCAAAATTATGGGCACACATACACATGCACCTGGCATGTTTTTCAAGTTGCTGGAGCCAGAATTTTAATAATGATCAGCAATATGGGATCCAAGCTTCTATGTATAGTCCCTAACTGATGTGCTACAGGGCTGACCTGATCAATTTCTTTTTTTTTGAGAGGTTTTTGCTATAAGGTGCATGTACTTGCCAGAAGGATAGAGAGACAGAAAGCGAGAAATCACCCCCTGGGGGGATGGCCACGCTGCAATCCCTTCTCCACCATTCTCCTCTCGGGATCTTGGGCATGCACACATATGTGCCCGGTGTGAGTTTAAGCCATTGGTTCTGGGGCTCAAACCACAGTCTACTACGTGGGAGTCCAGTGACGTAGCCATTACGCCATCTGCTGGTCCCTGGCCTAATCAATTTTAAACCATCTTATAGGCAAAAAATTATAGTTGGACCATTATAAGTTGAGATCATCTGTATATACAGAAGGTACTGTTTTTTTTTTTGTTTTTTTTTTTTTCTTGAGAGAGTTTTGCTGTAGGGTGTGTGTGATTGCTGGAGAGACAGAAACAGAGAGAGAGAGAAAGGGAAAAATCACCCCCAAGGGGGGATGGCCATGCTACAGTACCTTCTCTTCCATTCTCCTCTTGAGGTTTGGGGCATGCAGACAAATGTGCCTGGTGTGATTTTCAAGCCACTGGGTCTGGGACTCAAACTGCGGTCAACCATATTGGAATCCAGTGCCTTAACCACCATACCACCTGCTGGCCGCCCCCCACCTTAAATATAATACACCTCCCCCACCTGGCTTTTCTGTGTTTTTGTAGATGTCTCGACCTTTCTGGGAAGAATACCCTATTGGAAGGTTAATTTTTCAAAGTTCTTTATTGGAGAAATATGTGACATTTAGGCTTTTGTCAATTTGATACCATTTATTGAGCACCTACTATGTACTTTATGTTTTTTTATATCATAGACTCTTTAAAAAATGGAAATAGGGGCCAGTAGGTGGCATAGTGGTTGGGGTGCTGGACTCCCACGTGGCTGACTGGGCTTCTGAGAGGACTTGGGAATCTTTAAGACTTCTGTTACAGGGACCAGCAGTTAGCGTAATGGCTATGTTGCTGGACTTCCATGTAGTACATCGCGGTTCGAGTCCCAGACCTGGTGGTTTAAAACTCACACCAGGCGTGTGTGTGTGTGCCCAAGATCCTGAAAGGAGAATGGAGGAAAAGGGATTACGGTGTGACCATCCCCCCCGGGCGTGATTTCTCGCTTTCTATCTCTGTCTCTGTCTTTCTGGCAAGTACATGCACCCTATAGCAAAAACCTCTCCCAAAAAAAAGAAAAAAAAAAAAGAATTCTGTTCACAGGGCCAGCAGATGGTGTAGTGGTTATGTTGCTGGACTCCAGTGTGGACAACCATGGTTCCATTCCCAATGACTTCAAAATCACACCAAGTTCATGTGCATGTATGCCCAAGATCCTGGTAGGAGAATGGAGGAGAAGGGTTTGCAGCATGGCTGTTCCTGCTGGGGGTATGATTTTATACTTTACCTCTTACTGTGTCCGTCTGTCTCTCTCTGGCAAGTGCACGTGCTCTAAAGCAAACAAACAAACAAACAAAAAATTCTGTTCACATTTTAGAATTTTGTCAGATGGAGCCAGATAAATAGTCATAAGTAGAAGAATTCCCAGCATAGTAATGTCAGAATAAACCATAGTGCCTCTCCAATAATAGGACACCTGGAAGTGACCATTGTTTAAATTGCTGGATCTTAAAATACCAGACACAATGGCTCCTCTACAGAGAAATTAGTGTAAAAAGGCCTTGTAAACACAGTGATATTTTAACTGTTTTGGGTTTGCCAAATGTATGGCACTTGGAGAATTTCAAAGACCACAAAGCTTTCTTGGGACCAGCAGTTAGTGTAATGGCTATGTAGTCAGCCACGGTTCGATTCCTAGACCCAGTGGCTTAAACTCACGCCGGGTGTGTGTGTGTGCATGCCCAAGATCCCGAGAGGAGAATGGAGGAGAAGGGATTGCGGCATGGCCATACCCCCTGAGGGGTGATTTCTTCCTTTTTGTCTCTGTCTCTCTTGTGAGTGCACACACCCTGTACCCCCCCCATAGGGAAACTTTCTTTTTAAAATAAGATTTATTCAATGTTATTTATCATTATTTTTATTTTTCAAAAATTTTCTACAGTACATACATACTCATAAGAGAGAAAGCAAGCCACCAGATCCAGGACATGAACCACATTCAGCCATGTGGGAGTCCAGTGCCTTAACCACCATACCACCTGCTGGCTCTCAGAATTAGGGAAACTTTAAAAACCTCAGTTCTCTGCCCTCCCTGAAAAAATGTCTCTTATTTGCAACTAAATTGGTTAGTTTTACACTAAATAGCAGCTGGTGTTGGACTCAGTTTTTCAACTAAATGTATACTTTGCTACAGTGATCCTCTTTTGTTTGAACTTTTTTTTTTTTTTTTTCACTATAGGGCGCGTGCGCTCACCAGACAGACAGAAAGAGACAGAGAGACAGAAAGCGAGAAATCACCCCCCAGAGGGGATGGTCACGCCGCAATCCCTTCTCCTCCATTCTCCTCTCGGGATATTGGGCACGCACGCGCACACACATGCACCTGGCGTGAGTTTTAAGCCACCGGGTCCGGGACGCGAACCGCGGTCAACTACGTGGGAGTCCAGCGACATAGCCATTACGCTAACTGCTGTTTCCCTGAACTTTATTTTTCTAAAAGCATCCTGAATTTTTTTTTTTAATTCATTCATTTTTTCTTTTTTTTGAGAGATTTTTGCTATAGGGGGTGTGCACTCGCCACAAAGACAGAGACAGAGAGACAAAAAGCGAGAAATCATCCCCCCGGGGGATGGCCACACCACAGTCCTTTCTCCTCTATTCTTCTCTCAGGGTTCTTGGACACGTACGCACATGTGCCTGGTATGAGTTTAAGCCACCAGATCCAGGACTCGAATTGTGGTCAACTACATGGGAGTCCAGTTGCATAGCCATTATGCCAACTGCTTGTCTCTATTATGCCCCCAAATACTAATTTG